GAATACGGAGGCCATGATGCTGAGTGAAACAAGCCAATCACAAAAGGACGAGTATTATATGGTGTCCCTTTTATAAAAAGTCAGGAATCGGTATACACTAGAAAGCCACATTCTTCGACGGTTACCAGAGACCGTCGAGGGTGGGAGGAGGAATCGCTTGCTCGACAGTAGACACCTGTAGTCTCCGGTGATGGGAAGGCAGTACACAACCTAGAGCAAGTCAACCCTTTGACCATGGTAAGTGAAGACACTGGGAGACACCCAAGAACAAGGACAGTTAGTCATAACATCGAAGGAACTCTGATGGTGCAGTGGTTATAACATCGAAGGAGCTCTGATGGTGCAGTGGTTAAGGTATTTGGCTGCTAACCAGAAAGGTCAGTGACTTGAACCCATCAGCTGCTCCATGAAGGAAGGTTGGGCAGTCAGCTTCCGTAAAGATTTACTGCCTTGGAAACCCAGTAGGGGTTACTATGAGTCAGAACTAAGTCAATGGCGGTGAGTTTTGTATTGTTTTTGAGAGTTATAACATATACGAATTTGCAACAACAGTAATAACAACCAACAAAGTACATGTGTGATTACAGGGACAGATATGTATTCTATACGTGTATAGGAAAGTATATGTGAGTACATGCATGTATGTACACAGGTGTATGTGTAGGCACAAGTATACACATGTTTGGGTGTGCTGCATATATATTCACATACATAATAAAGCACATAGGGGCACAGTTATGGACTCCTCCAGCCACATCCAAACACCTTGCAGGACTGGTTTACCGGGTTAAAAGGCTTGGCACCATAGTCTTGTGGGACAAGTGGGTAAACTGGTATAACAATTTATAATGGTAATATCCAATATCCCAGTTTGGTGAGTGGTATCTGGGGTCTTAAAAGCTTGTGAGCAGCCATCTATTGGTCTCTTCCTCTCTGGAGCAAAAGAGAATGAAAGAAACCAAAGACTCAAAAAAGAAACTAGTCCATAGAACTACTAGCCCACATGAACCACAGCCTCTTGTAGCCTGAGATTGGATGAACTAGATGGTGCCTGGCTACCACTATAATCATTCTGATCAGGGACAAAAGAGAAGGTCTTGGATGGGAGAAAAATGTAGAAGCAAACTCGAATTAAAAAAAAAAAAGATTAGACTTACTGGACTGATAGAGACTAGAGGAACCCGAGACTACTGCCCAAAGATATCCTTTGAACTTGGAACTGAAGCCATTCCCAGAGTCTGCTTTCAGCCAAGTAGTAGACTGGCTTATGAAATAAACAATCTTACCAGTTATTACCAGTGCTCCCTTAAACAATCAACTACATGAGACCCAATGGACCACATTTACTCAGAAGCAGAGAGGAGACAGTGAGGAGGGGCAGGGAAGCTGCATAAATGGAAACAGAGCAGAATGGAAACAACAAGAACGTGGACACGCTGCAAACTGCAGTCAATATCACGGAACAGTCTACAAAAAGTGTTCCACAGGAACCTAACTTGCTGTGTAAACTTTCACCTAAAACACAATAAAATATTAGAAAGAAAAATATGGGAAACCATCAAGCACACTGATATACGTGTAACAGGAAATCAGGAGGAGAGAAAAAAGAAAAGGATAGAAAAAAATATTTGAAGAAAATAATGGCTGAAAATGTCCCAAATTTGATGGAAGTTATGAACCTACACGTCTAAGAAGCTCAACAAACTAAACACAATAAACGTAAAAAGATCCAGATGCAGATACGTCATAGCCAAAAAGGGGAAAGTCACAGATAAAGAGAAAATCTGGAAAGCAGTAAGAGAAAACGACTCACCAGGCACAAGGGCACTCCGGGGAGACCAACAGCTGACTTCTCAACAGAAACAATGGCAGGCAGAAGGCGATGGAATGACAAATTCAAAGTGCTGCAAGTCAAAACCTGTCCACCAACAATCTCATACTCAACAAACTATCTTTCACAAATGAAGGTGAAATAAAGACATTCCCAGATAAACAAAAGTTTAGAGAATTTGTTGTTAGCAGACCTGCCTTACAAGAAACATTAAAGATGCAAAATTATTTGGCAATGAAAAGTAATGATGTATTGGTCCACGTTACAATGTTGATGAACCTTGAAGACATTATGCTCAGTGAGAGAAACAAAGGACCACACATTGTATGATTCATTTATACAAAAAGTTCCGAATAGGCAAATCCACAGAAACAAAGTAGATCAGCAGTTACCTAGGGCGGGGGGAGGCAGGGATAAGGAGTGATTGCTAATGAGTATGGAATTGTCTTTTGGAAAGATAAATATGTACTAAAATTGATGGTGGTCATGGAGGCTGAATTTCTGTGAATATACTAAAAAGTATTGAATTGTCCACTTTAAAGGGATGAGTCGTATAACATATGAATTATATCTCTATAAGGTTAATTTTTAAAAATACTAAAAAAAAAAAAAAAAGTTTTCAAGGATGAAAATGAGTGACACCAGTCGGGGACAGGAGGCGGAATAAAAAGACATGGGACATGGGAGGGAAAAAAAGGAAAATGGCAGCTGTAACCCAACCTTATCAATAATAAAATTAGATGTACATCGATGAAATAATCCAACCAAAAGACAAGAACTGTCAAGATGGAATAAAAAAAAAAGATCCAACTAACATCGCCTGTAGGAGACAATTTCTATTCAAAGGTACATATTGGTTGAACATAAAAGAACTGGGGTAGATATACTGTGCAAACAACAACCATAAAAGCACTTGAGTGGCTATACTAATATTAGACAAATTAGACATTAAAACAAAAGATATTATGAGAGATAAAGAAAAACATAATGATAAAAGGGTTAGGTCATCAGAATTATATACAACTGTGAACATACATGCATTTCACAACAAAGCCT